TTTCGTTCTTTTGTTCTTTGGTTTTCATGACCTCTGTTGTTAATAACACAGTATTTCTGTGTTTTAAATCCCACTTTCTTAATAAACTTCCTTATCTGGTTTCTCTGCCCACCAGACAAGTCTCCATCGATATGCGTGATCAGGAGGAAGAAATAACGCATGACCTCTTTACCAAAGATCCTCCTCAGGACTTTCACTCGTTCCACATCATGTGTCGTAAAACCGTCCTCCCAGCTGTGCACGTACAGGAACACGTGAGGCCCCCGCTCAGAATCGAACTGAAAGGTGGATGCAATGATCTTACTCAGCACCTCCTCCTTAGATTTCCTGGTGTGGCACAGGCCGAGAGTATCAGCTAAAACCAGTCTTTGGTTTCCAAACGGCGCCGTCTCGGTTGTGCACGGCGCTTCATCTGAGGCAAACGAGCTCTTCGTCACAGCAGCTTTTCCCAGGAATGTGTTCATGATTGAAGTTTTCCCAGCTCCAGTCTTTCCAATGAGCACGATCCTGAGCTCCTCTGGCGCTGTTGGAGAATTTACATTACGTGCTTCATTATCATTACAATTACATATCAGCACTGCAGCACTTAGTCTGAACAACAGCTGATGTTTGAATGACGCTTCGATTGTTCCCAGCTTGCATTTGTTTTACTGACTTTGCAAAGAAATTAACTTTCAGATGTTTTTATTATCTTAATTATCAGCATTATAGACTCGTTAGCTTTCATGTAAACCACAGTCAGTCCCATTTTACTCCCACACTTCCCCATCTTAGTTTTATGGTGTCTCGCTGATAAATTCAAAGTTCAGAAACACTTCAGATAAATATGATAGCAGCGTGTCTGTTGACCATTTGTACAGTTGAATGTTTTCATTTTCAGAAAATTTACTTCATAAAGTAACTTTGCTGTTTCATTGTGTACTGCAGTAATCGTTGGTCCGGTGAAGGGCAGGCGTTTAATTAAAAACAGGTATATTAATGCATTAATGCCCAGAAAGCTGCTTTTTATGTTAATGTCACTTATAGGAGCTGCATAAGACATTTGTCCTACCTTCTGGTTTACTCCCCTGGGACCCTATAAAGAGAATTGTTAAATATGTTAAAACCCCAAATGTGTACAATTATTAATTGTATTATGGTACACACTGCATATTTCAACAGATCCAGCAGATCTACATTAGGATTTTCTGACTTAAATGGATAAAACGACACAAATCTGGAGCAGTTTCCACCTGAAGCCTTTCTGTCAAGCTGCTCAGCAGAACTTTGCCACAATTATTTAAAAGCTCAATTTAGTCAAAATGATATTAAATATAATAACATTACTATTTTATAGCTGATAAAGTTTTAGGTGATGATGTAAGCTGCACTCAGCACTGACTGCAAAT